TCATGATCTAGAAAAATCATATTAAGTGATAATAGCGTGAAAGGAACGCGTGATAAGAGCGTGAATTGATCAAATGATTCTTCAGAGAGTTAAATCTTCCAGTTAGAAAACTATTTTATATTAAAACGAATTTTATAATAAGTATCGAAAAAATCACTAAAAATGTGTATCTCTCTCACTTGACATCAAATCGTAGAAAAGAAAAATATATCGGTCATTTGAAATGAACGTCAAGAATTAGGTGGTTAACACGAGCAGGATTTTAATAACGGATTTTCACAAAAGACTGGAATCTTACGCTCGTAAATTTTTCCAATGACAGATCCATTACTTTCCCGGCCGTGATGGTAAGACACTTCTGTGACCTCAACATAATAAGCAAGATGACTTTGCTCTGTTCGGGCTTCAAATCGTACCAGACTGAGTTGTAGGACGCGAGGCTGATCATTTTACTCTGAAGTAAAGTGTCATAAGAACGTCGTATTGTCAATACACACAAATGAATGTGAATCGGACATACAGTCATTATTTATATTAGTAGTGTCACGATCAATAACTATAACTCGAAAATTGTACTAGTAAAAATATATGTCAAAGGGGATGGACTTATACCGAGAGGACTTGTAACGAAGTCCTACTCTATAGGGTGTATTATCGGGACGACGGAATCTTTAAGTGAGAATAAGGCTTAAAGGAATAGATTGTGCGGTTCCGACCTTAGTGATGAGGTATTCTCCGCAAAAGCAGAACATAAATGCCTCGACCGAGGCATAATAAGCGGCCATATAACACATCGCAACTTTTATCAGAACTTTATTGTCGATCGATCCAACTTCCTGTGATTTGCTAATCTTCTGCAACATCAAACCTACTATGAATGGATGAATGTAGATATCGCGCCTTTTCACGAATAGTCACTTACTGTCACCAACATGTATCCCAAACAGCACATTACCAACGAGCTTAACATGACTTGTATCAGCGCGATGTAACAGAAAATTCTCTCAATCTTCTCGGAGAAGGAGATGATCTTTTGATGCTTGTTTACTAATTCGCCCGCGATGGAGGACGTCAAGCGTTGGTTACATTTGCTGGAGGAAAAATCGTTCAACGCGTCACATAGGATTTCTATTTGGCCGCACGCGTGAAAAACCTGGAAATAACCGTTATTTGGGTAATCGGGAAAGAAAAACACAGTCGCGAAGTTAGAAACTACTAATGGACATCCAGGAAAAAATAATGACCTTGTATAAAAAAAAATTTGTTAACAGCGCCAGAATTTAAGCGCAAGAAATTTAAAGATAAATTGCTAGCTTCAACAATGTACGAAAATAAAGTCTAATCGCATTTACCAGAAAAGGAACAATCAGATGTATTATGATTAAAGGAAACAAAATTTCTTGTTTTTATTACTCAAATGTGGTCCTTATAACCAGAAATTTTATTTCTTTCAACCAAAATGTATGTGGTTGTTCCCTTTCCGATTAATACAATCAGATATCTTTTACCGTACAGCATTATTGAACTAATAAATCACATAATGTTTTAATAACTTCAATACTAGCTTTAACAATAAAGCTATTAAGTTGAGAAGATTTACGCCAATTATGGCGCTGTTGATAATTTTTATTGATACAACGGTACTTTTGTCCGAGTAATGTCTTTTCACAGATTCTCACTCACGAATGTGATGACCAGCGAGTTCATTATGCCGTTTAAACTGGCAGTCAACATCAGTTGCATGAAACTCAGGCATTGAACGATCTCATACCGTGGTGACTGGTTGCAGTTGAATGGCAGTTGTATCTTGATCACAAACTTTTTAATCGGCGTGTCTTCCTCGTCAACGTTGTTCTGGCTAATTCGCACTAGAATGGGTATGAAAAATGCAGCCGCTCCTACGAATT